CTTACTGGCTGATATGTTATTAAAATACCATTGTCATACTTATAAAAGCAATTAAAATCTTATTCAAACAGATAATATAATAAATATAACTCACGAGCTATTAATATATAATGTTCCGAAAATAATTAATAATGTACAAATAATAAGTATAAAGTAAAAGCTATACTAACCACCTAATAATTTAATAAGAATGGAATCTTAATTAAAGAAAATAAACTATTGTGTAATAAATAAGACTCCGTGCTTACCGGCTAATGATTTAACAAAAAAAAATTATTTTAAAGTAAAAATAAGTAAGGCAGATGAATAATATACGTAGTACTTACTAGCTGATATGTTATTAAAATACCATTGTCATACTTATACAAACAATTAAAATTCTTATTCAAATAGATTTGATAATAAATATAACTTACGAGCTATTAATATTTAATGTTCCAAAATAATTAATAATGTAAAAAGAATAGACACAAAGTAAAAGTTATACATACCGCCTAATTATTTAATAAGAATAAAATCTTAATTAAAAAAAATAAACTATCGTGTAATAACTAAAACTTCGTGCTTACCGGCTAATAATTTAATAAAGAAGTGTTATTTAAAGTAAAAATATGTAAGATAAACAAATAATAATACGTAGTACTTACTAGCTGTTATTAAAATATTATTATCATTCTTATAAAAAAATTAAAATCTTATTTAAAATGGATAAGATAATAAATATAACTCACGAGCTGTTAATATTTAATGTTCCAAAAATATTAATATGTACCAACGGTTAAAATCTTATTCAAATAGATATGGATATAACTCACAAGCTAATAATATTGAATGTTTCAAAAATAATTAATAATGTATAAATAATATATAAAGTAAAGATTATACTTACCGCCTAATTATTTAATAAGAAAGAAATCCTAATTAAAGAAAATAAATTATCGGGTAACAAATAAGACTTCGCGCTTACCGGCTAATAATTTAATAAAGAAGTGTCATTTTATAGTAAAAATATGTAAGAAAAATACATAAGAATACGTAGTACTTACTAGCTGATGTGTAATTAAAATAATATTATCATACTTATAAAAACAATTAAAATCTTATTTGAATAGATAAGATAATAAATATAACTTACGAGCTACAGTATTAATATTTAAAGTTTCGAAAATAATTAATAATGTACAAAGAAAAAATAAAAAGGAAAAGTTATACATACCGCCTAATTATTTAATAAGAAAAAAATTCCAATTAAGAAAATAAATTATCTAGTAATAAACAAAACTTCTCGCTTACCGGCTAATAATTTAACAAATAATTTTATTTTAAAAAAATATGTAAGATAGATGAATAATAATATTTAGTACTTACTAGCTGATATGTTATTAAAGAATTATTGTCATAATTAAACAATTAAATCATATTCAAGTAGATAAGATAATAAATATAACTCACGAGCTATTAATATTTAACGTTCCGAAAATAATTGATAATGTAAAAATAATAAATATAAAGTAAAAGCCATTCTTACCGCCTAATAATTCAATAAGAAATCCTAATTAAAGAAAACAAATTATCGTGTAACAAATAAGACTTCGTGCTTACCGGCTAATAATTTAATAAAGAAGTGTTATTTAAAAGTAAAAATATTAAGATAAATAAATAACATTACATAGCACTTACTAGCTGGTGTGTTATTAAAATATTATTATCATACTTATACAAACAATTAAAATTCTTATTCAAATAGATAAGATAATAATTATAACTCACGAGCTATTAATATTTAATGTTCCGAAAATAATTAATAATATAAAACAGTTAAAATCTTATTCAAATAGATATAGATATAACTTACGAGCTGTTAATATTGAATGAATGTTTCAAAATTAATTAATAATGTATAAATAATATATAAAGTAAAGATTATACTTACCGCCTAATTATTTAATAAGAAAAAAATCCCAATTAAAGAAAATAAATTATCGTGTAATAAATAAGACTTCTTGCTTACCGGCTGATAATTTAATAAAGAAGTGTTATTTAAAAGTAAAAATATGTAAGAAAAATACATAATAATACGTAATACTTACTAGCTAATATGTTATTAAAATAATATTAACATACTTATACAAACAATTAAAATCTTATTCAAATAGATAAGATAATAGATATAACTTACGAGCTATTTATATTTAATGTTCCGAAAATAATCAATAATGTACAAATAATAAATATAAAGTAAAAGTACTTTGTGCTTACTGACTAATAATTTAATAAAGAAGTGTTATTCAAACGTAAAAATGTGCAAAATAAATTAAAAATATATATTACTAATAATCGTAATACTTACGAGCTGGCATTATTAAAAAAAATTCTCATATTTATACAGACAACCAACATTTTATTCAAATCGATAAGATAATAAATATAACTCACGATCTATTAATATTTAATGTTATAAATAATTAATAATGTACAAATTGTAAATTAAACAATAATTATACTTACCGCCTAATAATTTAATAAAGATTAATTCTTATCAAAAAACAAATTATCGTTTAATAACTAAACTTTGTGCTTACAGGCTAATAATTTAACAAAGAAATGTAATTTGAATATAAAAATAAGTACGATAAATAAATAATAAACGTTAAAACTCCGTGCTTACAAACTGATAATTTAATAAAGAAATGTTATTCAAAGGTAAAATATGCAAGGTAAATTAGTAATATAACGCAAAAACTTCATGCTTACGGCCTAATAATTTAATAAAAATTGTTAAAAAGTAAAAAACACAAACTAAATTGATAATAGAACGTACTTACCGACTAGAAATTTAATAAATAATTGTTATTTAAAAGTAAAAATAAGCAATATAAATTAATAATAAACGTAAACTTCGTGCTTACCGACTAATAATTAAATAAACAATTGTTATTCATAAGTAAAAATATGCAAGATAATAATAAAACGTAAAAATTTCGTGCTTACTGCCTAATAATTTAATAAAAACTTGTTATGCAAAAGTAAAAACATGCAAGATAAATTAAAAATAAAACGTAAAAACTTCGTACTTACTGGCTAATAAAGAATTGTTATTCAAAGTATAAATATACAAGATAAATAAATAATAAAACGCAAAAACTTAGTGCTTACGACCTAAAAAAAAAATTTAATAAATAATTGTTATTAATAAGTAAAAATATAAAATATGAATAGAGTAATAAACGTAAAAACTTTGTGCTTACAAACTAATAATTTAATAAAGATTTGTTATTCAAAAGTAAAAACATGCAAGATAAATTAGTAATAAAACGTAAATATCCGTACTTACCAACTAATAATTTAACAAGGAATTGTTATTAAGAAGTGAAAATATGCAAGATAAATTAATAATAAATGTAAAAACTTCGTGCTTACTGCCTAATAATTTAACAAATAATTGTTAGTTAAAAGTAAAAATATGCAAGATAAATTAGTAATAAATGTCGTACTTACTGGCTAATAAATTTAATAACAAGATGTTATTCAATAGTAAAAATTTGCAAGATAAATTAATAATCAAACGTAAAAACTTTGTGCTTACTGCCTAATAATTTGATAAATAATTGGTTATTAAAAAGTAATTATATACAATATAATTAGTAATAAAACGTAAAAACTTCGTGCTTACAAACTAATAATTTGATAAATAAATGTTATTCAAGTGGAAAAATATACAAGATAAATTAATAGTAAAACGTGAAAACTTAGTGCTTACTGGCTAATAATTCAATAAATAAATGTTATTCATGAGCAAATATATGCAAGATTAAATTAGTAATAAAATGTAAGACTTTGTTCTTACAGACTATAATTTTTAAAAAAAATATATTATTCAAAAAGTACGTAAAGATATGCAAGTTAAACTATAATAAAACGTAAAGCCTCGTGCTTACTGGCTAATAAATTTAATACCAAAATGTTATTCAAAAGTAACAATTTGCAAGAAAAATCAATAATAAAACGTAAAAACTTTGTGCTTACAAGCTAATAATATAATAAGAAATGTTAGTCAAAAGTAAAAATGTGCGAAATAAAATAGTAATAAAACGTAAAAAACTTCGTGCTTACAGGCTAATATTATAATAAATAAAATGTTATTTAAAAGTAAAAATGTGCAAGATAAATCCATAATAAAACGTAAAAACTTCGTGCTTACAGGCTAATAATTTGACAGAGAATTGTTATTCAAAGTAAAAATACACTAGATAAATTAGTACGAAAACGTAAATCTTCTTACTTACTGACTAATAATTTAATGAAGAATTGTTATTTAAAAGTAATGATATAAAGATAAATTAGTGATAAAACGTAAAAGCTTCGTGCTTACACACTAATAATTTAATGAATAAATGTTATTCAAAAGTAAAAATATGCAAGATAAATTAATAAAACATAAATCTCGTACTTACCGACTAATGATTCAACAAAGAACTGTTAGTCAAAAGTAAAAATATGCAAGATAAATTAATCACAAAACGTAAAAACTTCGTGCTTACTGGCTAATAATTTAATAAAGACATGTTAGTCAAAAGTAAAAATATGCAAGATTAATTAGTAATAAAACGTAAAACTTTAATCTTACTGCCTAATGATTTAATAAAGAATTGTTAAATAGTAAAAATACACAAAGTAAATTAATAACAAGACGTAAAAACTTCGGGCTTACTGCCTAATAATTTAATAAGTAATTGTTATTCTAAAGTAAAATATGCGAGAAAAATTAGTAATAAATCGTAAAAGCTTCGTGCTTACAGGCTAATAATATAATAAAGAAATGTTATTTAAAAGCAAAATATACAATATGAATTAGTAATAATACGTAAAAACTTCGTGCTTACTTCCTAATAATTTAACAAAGAATTGTTATTCAAAATTAATGGTATATAATAGATGAAAATTCGCGCTTACCAGCTAATTATTAATAAAGATTTTTATTAATTATAAATTATTTATAGTTATACAACTTTGTATAATCCTAAATGAATGATTGTTGAATATAAACAAATAAAGTAAATACATGACACTAAATTGAAATACAGTATACGGTATACCGCACTTACAAGTTGATACGGCATTTAGCTATGTTATATCATTAATTGGATAAGAGTAAAATCTTACAATCTATTCATATTTATTAGGTAAATATACACAATTATGATTGATTATACAGTAAAATATGAAGTCATATACGTATAAGTATATAAGAGAAATATTATAATTAATTAAATCTATATATTCATGCACTTACCTTGATTGTTTGAGTAGATAAATTATATTTCATAATATATATAATATTGTAAAAGAAGTTGAAATATTCGATTAACATTATATCCATAACTAATTATTCGTTAATTATCAATACTCAACAAGACCTAGTACACAAAATAACATCTAACATAATATTGAACTTGAAATTTATACTAAACAATTCCTTAAGGATCAAACAGTTAACCATTAATTAAATAATTTGTTATATATATATATTAACCAAGAAAAAGAATAAAATTATATGCAATGCAAAATTGATTTTAAATTAGCAAGTACCTACCTATTCATTTATAATTTAACATTTGATCATTAATTATGTTAACCACGAAAAAGAATAAAATTGAATCTAATGCGAAATTAATTTTAAATTAGTAAATAAAAACCAGCGGTATACATACGTACGTAAAATATTTACTTACAGTCTAATTTAAATGTAAAACGTGAACGCATGTTAGTAAATTTATTTGAAAAAGCAACAAATATAGACTGCATACTGTACTTGCCAGCTGATTAGTAAATAAAAACATATAAATCAATATATAATATTCAAAATAATTAATAGAAAATAACGACTAATTAACTAAACGAATCAATACTCACTTTTGATGAGCAAAAAATACGCCTATTACTAAAAATTTTTAGAAAGTAAGTATTGATGATTTACAATGCATTAAAAAAATAGAATATTTTAATATACTTACGGTTTATAAATTGAGAGAATACATTTTAGCGATAAATTTAGAGAAACTTACCAAAAGTTTCTAGTAGTTAATATAAATCGCGAAAGAAATCATTAGTTATTATGATATTTATTAAAAATAATAATAAAACTTGATGCTCACGGGCTACAGTCAATCAGAGTAAAAGTAAAATTCGAAGTTAAAGGTTAAATATAAAAATAAATGCATAAACCTAATTTTAAATAATATGAATACCAGAAACACTCGTAATAATTGTTAAAACAAAGAATAAAAGGATCATAACGATTATATAAGCCCTAAACATTTTAACAAACTCTTTAAAGTCTTTTTTTAAAAAGGATTTTATTCATAATATGGGTTTATATATAGTTAACGCTCAATGGTGGCAGCGCAACGAGTCTGTTGGCCGTTACATAATACTGTGGCGTAACGTATCACTAAAGTTGTTAAATAATTCGCTGAACTAGCTTAGTCTGGTTCGTACTTAAATCGTTCTGAATCTGTCCAAACTACCAGTTTGACGGTTTACGCAACATAATACAAATTTGCATGTCATGTATACCATAACTAATATCTAAACTGTGAATGCATGTATTAAATAAATTGACTAAGAATTATATGATGGAAATCATTCGTGAAATGTCATTTAGGTTAGTTTAACATAATAGATTCAACCTTTTTAATAGATAATGAGAAACACGCGGAATGAACTAATTTAAATGTGTAATTACAGTATCAGTATCTAAAATATCTTTCTAGTGAATATATACTATATCGTGTTGGTAAATACAGTAGTTGCTTAAATTGTTGAACGTACAGTACCTGTAACAATAGCGATAGAAACGGGATCAATGATCTCAAAAATTAAAAATGGTATGATCTACTTTTCGAAAATTACCTGTTCAGAAAGTTGATTTTGTAAATTTCGGAAATTTACGATCGACGCTAGTGGCGTTCCGACGATCGCGCATTAAAGATGTTAACAAAAAGGGTAATTGACCCTCAACCTCGTTATAGTACTTTTGTTATTTCTTTTATTTCTTTAATATCGAAAATTTCTTCTTTTATCTATGCTCAATAAAGAAAGTACATAAATAAGTAAAGCCAATAAAATAAAGGGGGAGTCGAAACTCAGATAAAACTTACTTAACCTGCATTGCCCAGCAAAACTCCGCCAAATCCACGTCTTCTTTCCCCATAAATTTGCCCGAACTCCTTCCCGATTATACAGCATAGTGATGTCGAGGATTTTACATGACCCTGACACTATATATAGTGGGATTTTTTATTATGTGATTTAAAGCTTAAAAGTTCAAGTCAAAATTATCGATTTCATTTAATGAATAAATTAAGTAAGCAAGAATTTTGATGAAAAATAATGTTTAAAAGTTTGTTTGAGATTATACTTTCTAGTGGAATTTAATAAATCTAAAAGTTTTTTTATTTAATGTACATTAGAATTTTAAAAATAAGAAATAATTTTAACGATAAAACTCAAGTACTTAATTATTAATCATTAAGAATATATTAAGTTTAACATTAACAATAATCTTATAGCTTATAATCATTACTGGGTTGTATTTATTTGTTTATTTTTATACTAGTTCTAATTATGTTATTTGGCTTTTGAATTATAACTAATGAAAAACAAATTTATTAATAAAATTCATATTGAAGTTTATTGTTTGGTCCAATTTATGTTACTTGGTATTTAAATAATATATAATGATTTAACAATAAAAATAATAACATTTGATAATTAAATAGAATTACTTGGCAACTAAAAAAATACATTTGACAATAAAAATTATTTTAATTAAAAAAATATTTGGCAATAGAAATTACAATATTCAACAATAAAATAATTATACATTTATAAATTTTAGTAAATTTATATAATTAAATACTTTTGTATTTTATTTTATATTAAATAGATTTAAAGTTAAAAATTTAATTATAAAGTATTTAAAGATTTCTAATATATGTATACAGTTTGATATACAATATAGTACAAAAAATTTTGAACTTTTTTATTTATTCATTACTCAAAAACTACTCTATAAAAATTAATAAAAAAACATATCAAAATAAAGCTAAAAATCTAAAGATTTTATTAATACATAATTAATAATTAATTCTTTCACTATTATTTTCAATTATTAATTCACATTTCTCTTTCATTAAATCTATAAAATTATTTAAAACATTATTTAGAATTTTATCCTTTTATTTCAAATCCACCTGATTACAAAATTTATTATTTTTATTATTAGTTGATTGGCTTCCAATACATATTATATCCAATTAGCTAAAAATTATTTACCAAATCAAACTAGGCTGCATGAAGATGTGACCTCTGATTTTTTTTTAATAATTATGGACTAAAAACAAATCAAGCAGGAAAGGTTGCACAAGGTAAGGCTTTTGGCAAACTTTGTTAAAAGCCTACAATCCCAACTGAAATAAAAAACTCTATATTATTATTCTTTCTATTGTCATAAGTAAAAATGTAAGTGCAGTAACATAATAAATTATTGCATTATATAATTAGTATATTATAAGATTGATGGTGAAAAAAGTTAAAGGTAAATAAATTGAAGTGTGAAAAAGTTTAGTAACAGAAATTTCTAGAGTAGTATAGAATAGTAAACAAATATAAACATATAAATAATATGTGTATGTATAAATACATATGCAATTTGATGGCATGTAAAAAAGAGTGAGTTTAATTTAGAGTCAGTAAATATTAAGTAATATACAATAAAGTAATGTTTAATAAATAAACTCTTATTTTGTATTTAGTATGTCAAAGTAGACTTGTAACTTAGACTATATGATTACAAGAGAGAGTCAAGAATTACCTAAGGGAATTGGCATTGAAAAAGTTCTAGACTAGTTGGTAGAGAAGTTAAAGTAAGAAGACTGACCAAATTGAAAACACACCTCAAGAGTTATAAATTTACTTTATTGTAAATTGAAGAAATGACAAGTAGAGATAGGCTGAATAAATAGCTCATGATACTATTTAGGTTAATTAGTTTTCTGAATAAGTCATACTCAATTAGTTAGTATTTAAAACTGGATCAGCAGACTCCAAAACTCAATTATATCTCTACTAACCTACTTATAGTTCCAAAAATTGGAATTGAACAGAATTGCAGGGAATCGCATAAGGTTTGAAACATTATTAAAAATAATAGTGAGTATACCCACCTATTTAATTTAATATAAACTTGAGAATCAAATACAAAATCAAAGAGAATTGTTAGGATCCTTAAACCTACTTGATATTGGCACAATTCAAATTGATAATCCAATTATGAAAAAGAATCACATTATAAGCTAAAAGAAGATTTCCAAAAAGATTTTTCAACTGTTGAGCAGGATTTTTCTTATCCTAAATTTATATGTAGGGAGACATAACAAAAATTAAATTATAGACTTACCTATAAGATATAATTTTGTATTCTGATAAAAATTACAATAGACTAGAATTAATTTATAATATATATTGTTACACTTAATCTTCGCCCAGGATCATCACTACCCCTTGTCCGATTTTTACTAGCATTTACCCTTGAAATGTTATCCATTCTAGAATAATTCTTGTATTACTATTC